AAATTATACAGAACATGGAAATAAAATGCTCTTAACGGTGATGAGGGTTCCGAACTTTCTCCTTCTCGAGTCTTCTTGGCTGCTGACTCTTCTGATTGCAGCTGAGCGTTTTCCAGGGTACGCTTCTTGAGCTCATCCAGCATCATGTCATCGGGTACCAACTCTTCCTCTTGGGTTCCTGGTACATCCGATATGCTCGAGTTCGATAAACTTCCCCTGCCTCCCTTTGAGGCTGACAATTCCGTGTCCAACAGGTCCAACACCTGCTCCAACTGCTCAGTTTGAGAATGACCTCTGTCTTCTTCACGGACAACTGGTTCCTGAGCTGAGGATTCTTCGGCAATACTTGCAAGAGCGGGGCCTGGTAGTGGTTGTCTGACGAATGTTCCTTTAGGCCTGTAGGCTTCTTCGGGTTCCACGGAGTTACACTCAACTTCAGTACGGGTTCCTTTCTCCATACTGTAGCAATCCTTCGTACTGATCCTGTCGCAAGAACTCCATCCTCTACACCTACCAAGTGTAAATCTTGAGCATTCTTGCCTAAGTAGATACCACCAATCCATTTAGCGGTTCCCTTCTTTTCAGGCATCTTGAGTGCAAACACATATTCTCCAAAAGGTGCAATCTTCCCAAGATAGGGTCGTCCGACTACACTTTCATAAGGCGTAGATCCAATGGCTGCAAGACGGTGATACCTGTTGAGCAACCATGATGCGTGGCAGAGTCCCCAAGCCCAAATCGCATGGCCCTCTAGCTTCTTCTCTGCTGCTCTCACAAGACATACAGTTTGCTTTCTTACTGTTTGCATAAACCTTTCAACCCTCGCTGTTCTTCCTTTCTGGTACGGTTTGTTGTTCTGGTCATGGGTCTTCCGGTTCATCTTCCTCCGTGTTTCCACAATAGCTGTTACAAGAGACACCATGGCCTCCTCTGAATCTCCAACAAATCCAACTTCGTCCAGATGTCCAAGACTATGTACCCACTGCAAGACTTTCTCCACAGTCTTCCTTTCCGTCTGTTTTCCAGATACAGGGGTTACCACTGACATGCGTGTCCATGAACAAATTCCAACCAATGCAGGTAAGCATCTCGGCTCGATGCAGAGAGCGGCCCGTAGTAGTTTGGTCTGGTGCTTTGGCTTTGTGTTCTGCGGTTGGGCGGGGCTTTGCTTCAGGGAACGGACCTTGCAGCCGGTAATGCAAGCATGGCCGGTGCTGCAGCCTCTGATCCTCTGCTCGATGTTGCTCACGGCTGCAACAAAATCCCTAAACATGCTCGATGGTGGCTGTATGAGGATACTCTTCGATTTCATATCTTTCAGTATGCTATGGAGTATTACCTCACGCTGCTGTCCCCACTGCCCATTTCATCCCGGGCATCGCTGCACAATCTTTATTACATATCGTGGCATGCGCTGCCTCCGATGCTTGTTTGGCAGGATGTATGGGTTTTGCTACGATCACTGCAGAAGGTTGATTTCATTCGCAGGACTTTTGCACTGGATTGTGAGTTTGGGCTCAGCATGGTGGATTGTGCATATGCAGCGCAGCTGGGAACAACAATGTCCTGGCCTCGGGCTTTGCTTGAGATGGATTAGGAAGCTGTACAGCAAACTTCGTATAGACATGGTGCGCTCTGTGGTTGGAGCTTATAAGCATACACAGCAGTATCATTGGCTTTGGTTGGATGGATGCCTGACCTGCGAGCAGGCCGTCCCAGCCTGTTTGATGCCGCTGCTTCTGCTTGCTCTTACGTGGATGTGTGTGGTAGGAACAGTCAGTAAACCACTGTGCAGACTTGCTCAGGCTCAAACAACCGTACTGTACTGGAATCTTGCACAATTATTGCATCAATGTCGCACTTGGATGACCTGCCTCACTGCATACGTCGAAACCTGGAACAGGCGAGAACAGATGCAGCTGACACAGGAGACGACAATGATCACAATACTGATCGGGAACCTGCTTCTGGCTCTGGGATGCCACGAGATGACGACCGCCCTGGACGTGCCAGCAGCTGCTCCAGGAGTCGCTCGCGAGTCAGGCGCAGGGCGAGGCTCAGGCCTAACAATGCTTCCGGTAGTGCACCGGCAGGACCGCCTCCGCCTGTACCGATCCATGGAGTTTCTTCTGCCCCTGCTGCTCGTTCTTCAGACTCTGATCTTTCACAGGGTTCCTTTGATTCGAGCGAGATCATACGGCAAGAAGATCTTCGGAGGCGCGGCGGCACCCCGGCCTGGGCAAAAGGAAGCACCTTCCTACGGAGGTCGGTTCTGGCTAGAGATCGCACGGCTCATCCACGGCCGATGCCGAAGGACGACTCTGATGCTGAGGCAGAGGAAGGAGAGGAGGAAGAAGAATCTGATCCGGACCCCTTTGCCACGGACTTCTCCAGACCACCAGACGGCAGAACCAGATGTGAAGTGGAGCGAGAGCAGCAAGAGGCCGCTGAGGAGGAAGAGGAAGAGGGCGACTTCCATACCACGGGGGAGCTTGGAGAAGTTTCTTCGGGTGAACTTCGCCCGGCATGCTGGCCCACGCCTGATTCAGATGATGGCGATTTCGGATTTGGGTTGCAAACGAAGGACTAGATTGGTATCTGCTTTGCAGTTCGCTGCGGGATGCCTTTCGAAGCCTTCTGAAACACCTGACTCTAGAGGTGATTTTACGAGGTCTGCTTGGCAGTCCGCTGCGGGGCCTCTGGCAGTGAAGTTACCTCACTCACAGCCGTCTGCATTTTGCGCAGCTAAACAGCAGGATTACATGCTGGACAGCCATCATCTTTTGCCTGGTGCAAGCTCAGAATTGACAGAGCAGCTGCAGTTTTCGAGTTTGCCCCGGAGTTGCCAGGTTGAGTTCAACGACATCTACCAGATGACTGGTGCTGATCTTGGCTTGCCTCCTTCCCCTCCTGCAGGCCCCGTCTACTCTTCACAAAGATTTCGTGAGCAGCTGGAGCATTTGAGCCATCCTAGTGATTCATTTATTCAAGACCGAGCTATGCCGCGTACTACTACAACAGGACGAAAGAGCCGCCTGGGTCCCAATTCCCAGGGTGTCGGGCGTACATTTCATTTCAGTCTCTTTCTTTTTGACACGTTTGATGCTCTTCTTTTCGTTTATACCTACAGTCGTTTCCGGCACAGATGCGAGGGTTGAGTCTGATTCCCACCCAGTCTCTGGAGCCTTCGCGGGCGAACATTCAGGCGGGAACACCGCAAGATTTGCCTCTTTTGCTACAAGTTCGACTACAACAGCAGGCCGGCAGCGAGTTCGCAAGCGAGCCTATGCTAGAGCAATGCGTAGAGCCCAACAGGCGACAGATGGAACTACCATGTACAGAGGCAGAGTCTTACGATCGAGACCGGCCCCTTCTGCGCCTACTCGTCCCA